TGCTGATATAAAAACCATACTGGATTTTGTTAATCTTCGGTGACTGTTTCCCATAAATAAATAGTTTTTTTTACATCAAGACTGGAAATATTATGCAAAATGCCACTTAAACTGCCCGCACTTTTTTTTCTTAAGTTGGTAGCACTGTCTTTAATAGCTACCAACCAAAAAATGAGCGCAATGTGTCAAGCAGTTTTTTTGCAGCAGCTGTTTGAAATTAGTCGACCTCAGTTCCCTCTGCGAATTTTCTTTTACGATTTCAATCGAGTCGAAATGGATTCCACGGAGTTGTAACTTGACTTGGGAACAAAAAAAGTCGCATAAGGCCAAATCCAGTGAGTAAAAAAGGTGATTGAACGAGTTTTTGGTCTCAAAATCGTTCACAATTACAGCTCGGTGCGATGGCGCATTATCGTCATGGAAATTTCTGGAAACTGTGGGCTCACGTTTCCGGCAGTTTACTCTTTATTGACCGTCTGTCTGTTCTGTTGTAACGAATTCATGATGAACCAAACCCGCGAATATCGATAAAAAACAATTTCAGGGAACTTTCTGGTTGAGCAAATCCAATTTGATTTCAAGAAACATACATGTTCCAGTTAGGCATACCAGCCAAAGTTTTAACTAGAGGGAACCAAGCATTTTTATATTTTATGAAAAGCATCGATCCACTTCGCGTAAAAAAAGTCAAGCAATATTTTCGTATAGGTCAGCCCTTAGTCCACTTTCCGATTTTTTTTTTCGTATAAACCTTGCCATGAACAATAGAAATCAACTGACAAGCAACAAATTCGCTTTTATCCCAAGAATGCCTTGTTGATTAACCAACAGAATTAAACCAAAGTTACACGACCTTCATTTTTGGACCGATCAGTATGTTCTAAGTATCTATTGTTTGGTTTCATTCGAACTTATTGTAAAAGTCGAAGACTTAAAAATTCCAACAACAAATAACCCCAAGTTACTGGGAGTTAGATTTAACAGTCTGCACTCTTTCACTCCGCATACGCTTGCAATTCCCACTTAAGCACGGCTACGGAGCTTTGGAAGCTAGCCCGACGCTGACGAAGAAGCTGCAACAATGCAAAAACACCGTCCTGAGAACGATGACAGATGACGCTGGCACATCACTTCATATTATGCTCTGAAAGCCATCGGGGTCATCACAACAGGAATCTCCTTGAAACAGAAACTCAGCCTGGGTACAACTGAAAGGGCGTACTTAACTATAACAATTTCATACAGTAATTTCGACAAGAACAGCTGGGCAGGACGGCGATCAGAACGCCTTTGTGAAATCTCTTCCCATGAATGGCGTTTTTAGAGTCTTAGCAGCATCTATTGCAGAACAAGAGTCTGAATAATTTTATCATAATATTTTGGTTGACTTAATTCCAGTCATCCAGACTTGACTCCGACATACCCAAAGTATATCCTGCAAGTAAGACACTAAACACTCCTTTGCAAGTAGGGATCTATAGTTTATTCAAAGGCGCCTCTGAATGGCTAATGGATTTTTATGAAAATATTTTATTTCATGTCACAAATACACTAGAAGACATTCCCTGCCGAGGGCCGATCGCATTTAGAATAATTACTAATATATTACTTTTGGTTGTTCTTCGAACCAGTATTTGAAGCCATAATGGCAGTACGAATTTCTATTCACAACGGCTATTGAGGCAAAGAGAAGAGATATGTCCATAAAAATTTATACCAATTGGATGAGAATGAAGAGTTGAGTTTATTAAGCTCTCTCTCCCTCCCTTCTCGACTTCGGTGGTACACTTAAATATACATTTTTCGGAACCGCAGTCAGCAGTTATGCAGGAACTTTTCTAACCCCAAACAACCAAAATTCAAGGCATCACATCCGTGAAACACATGCCCCAATGTCGTGGTATGCAGTTGCTCCTAATTAATTGAGAAATTGCATTGCTGTAATCTCTCGTACATTTGTATATCTTGAAGAAGTGGGTGACAAATGTGAAAGCACAACTCATTAAAAATTTGACACAAAAATTTATTAAACACGAAATAAAACCAAAATAACTAAATAATAATGCAGCGATATAAAAATACGTACATACTTATGCATGCAAGGAAAGAAAGTACAAGGAAAAACTAAAATAGCAACAGTTACAAGCAGCACTCGAGCTAAATTGGATACACGAAGATGCAGCATGCAGCCGCTCTGTTGTTTTCTTCTATTTTGTTTTTTGAACAAAATAGAGATGCATGGGAAAGACGGTCGCGTGTAAAACACTGAGCTCATTTACATGCGCCGCGTAAAAAATAAATAAATAAAAAAGTGGTACGTAAAAAGCAGGCCACATGGCATTAAACGTTTTTTTTTTTCGAATCTTGTAGACACAGATAATTGCAAGCCAATGCTGCAACTTGCCAGACAAAGTTGATAAAAAAATTCAAAAATAACAAAAAAATAAATAAAAATAAAAATAAAAATAAAAAAGCAAGCGCGTTAATTAAAAAGCAGCGCACCTACTTGCTACAAAAACCAAAAGAAAGAAATAATTGAAAATTTGCTGTAAATTGGCAGCAACAAGAGCGTAAAGTGTCTGTCAGCCAACGCAAACACACACACACACATACATACATGCACAACTGAGACCGATTTTGCTACGTTGCAAATAAAAATAAATATTTTCGAGGTTATAGAATTGACATCAACAGCACGCACATGCGCTAGTCTCCTACGCCGCCTTAGTTGCATACTTTAGCAGCCAAAAAAAAAAAAAAAATTATTTATAGAAATCATCTATCTTCCTCCTTAATGTCAAAAAAGGAGACAATTTATTCAACTGCTACGCTCTTTTACTTCCCTATCCACGACCTTTTCGTGTCTTGTGGCCTATCAGACAGTCAGCCAATTTACAATTTTCGCCCCACACTTATTACATTATTTTCTTTTGATACCGAGTCATGCGAAAAAATCACGCGAACTACACTGGTAGAGCATCCGCTTTACTTTCTTACATGCTGTAAGCCGACCCCAGTCGCATACCAGCGTGCATCCTCCCACCAGTTGGTAATCATCAATGCGTCGATGAGCTAAACAAGCTGCAGCATACAGTTGCACGGTATTATTGCAGTCCAAAAAAAAACGACTTTTTTCGACTTTTTTTTTGTACACAAATGAGAGTTTTTTGTACAACTTCCATCTACATTGCATGTCTGCTCTGAGACGCAGTACTCGCTCATAGCAGCGGCAACTCTATTTTACTCGCTTCAGTTAATTTGATGTATGCATTTGACAGACTGTGTGCTTTTTTATGATTGAAGTGACACAAATGCGTTTTTTGTTTGTAATTTTTTTTGTGTTTTTTATTTATTTGTGTTTTTTTTGTGGTGGTTTTGTGTACTTCATGTTTGTTTTTCATATAATAAGTGTCTTTTTGTTTGTAAATACATACATTTTCTGTATTTATTTTTCATCTTAATAAATTGCTCATTTTTTGTAAATGACAGCTACTAATGAGCTTTCAAAAATAGGGACAAATAAAGTAAAATGTTTTGTCAGGTCTTGTGTTTTGAAAGCTTTGTTAGAAATACTTCATAATTTTTTAAATTTTGAATTTTGATTATTTTTTTTGAAATGCAAAAAAAAGGTAATAGACTTTAGAAGTAAATTCCCAATACTTTGAGAGGTATATGTATATATTATATATGTAGTACAATTTAACAAAAAAAAAAAAAAAAAAAAAACAAAAATCAAACCTTTAAGATTGTATGTGCTTTCACCTTCATTGTTCTTAAATTCTATAAAAAATTTTCCAAACTTAAAAAACAACAATTTATATTATGGTTGAGATTGGGTGCTTCTCAGTAAAATCACACAAATTGAACTAGTTCATGTTGGTATCCAATAAAATTTTTTTTTTTAATTTTTAAATTTTTTACGTATATATTATGGTTCACTTGTTATAGTCAAAAATCGAAGCTATGGTACTTCTAAGTATGACTAGTCAAAACTATGGTCTGACATAAATACTTGATCTTAGTACAATAGGCCATTTTTGGCTTTGAGTGAGAAGTTTTTGTCTAACTGCTATCCCTAAATTGTTGCGTTCACCGCTAAACAACTCTCGAAAATCCTCATGGCCATACAGTTTGTATGGGACATCCCACAATGACGCGGCGTCAACCTTGAGCAAATGGAATTTTCAATATTCACAACACTTTATATGATGAAATTAGATGTGAAGGCTACAAGTTTGAACGAAAGAAGGATAAACTAGGTATACCAGTAATTAAGGAGAAACGTATTTGGATAGTCAAAAGCCGCAACTCAATTTGCCTTAAATCTACGATTGACCAGTCAATCGACAGAATCGGTAGCCCTCACTCGATAGTTTAAAATATATTTAAAAAATCAGGGTCAGTAGACTTTCGCATATCTACATATAAATATGTGTGTCTTGTCTTAGCAAATTTTACCTCACTGAAATTTAACTGCTTGGCTCACGAATTTTTATGCTTACACACTGGGATGTTCATCTCACAAATATGGAATGACAAATGTATTTTACGAAGCACCGCAAGAGTTCGGCTAACAAGCAGTATGAATCGACGTTTGAACAAATCTGCTTAGTCGTTTCTAGAGTTGACTAGGCAAATCCAGAAACACTTCATTTTACTTTCGACGCTTAACTGACTAGTTAGGTTTGAATAAAAAAACCAAAAATACCTTAGTCAAAGTCCAAAATTTGAACTTATTTCAGAGTATGCCGTAAGCTTTGGTCAAACCTGGGATAAGCCAGTCATTTCGAGAAGAGACTGTATATCGAACTTTGACTATAACATATACTATTAAACAAAATTTTTCGTTAAAAATTTGATCCCTTTATATTTTTGTTGCGAATGCATAAGTTTCTTATCACATAATCTTCGCAAATGACTTATTTTATACTCAAATTTATCTTTTTTTTTTTAAATAAAATATAAGCGCCTAATCAAATTATCTTTGAATCTTCTTACAGCGACATGCCATCAACCACTGGGCATGGAGTCTGGTGCAATTACAGATGCTCAAATAACTGCCAGCTCAGCGCATGATACAGGCTTCGTTGGGCCGCAACATGCAAGGTAAGGAATTTAATTTTATTGCATTTCTTCAAAGTTTTTTGCTGGGTAAATAATATATTTTGTATATAAAGGGTGATCTTTTGGCTATTATATTTTTGGCAACACTAGTTTAAACAGCTAACGTACGCTATGTGTTTTGTCTCAATTGGTGAGCTATATGTTCAGTTGGATATTGGGTGTCTGTCTAAGAGAAGATGTCACATAAGAAAATATTTACTTTATTCTCATATCTCTCCTGACCATTTATCCCATATCGATTTCGTGATCCTAGTCACATTGGAACAGTAATCCGGCCCAACTGTATAAGAAATAGATCGAGTCGGGTTATGCTTGAACTATTATATCTCATAAGCTCCTTTCCCAAATATCCGCCTTGTAGTCTTTCATAAAGCCAGTGAAGCTTATGCAGTCATGATACTTTCTGGTAGAACAACCTCCTTAATATATTAGTATTACCTAGCTTTGTCAGTTTACATTCTAACGCAATCCTCTACTAATAATGACTTATATGAATGCTGTCCCCAGCATACTGTGGAATTTACAAGCGGTTGATTTTTTATCAAGTGTTGGCCGCTATACCACTACCACGGGGAGTGAAGCATACTCGTAGATCTAATAATCGCTCGCTTGTGCTTTTGTTATTTCAAGGCTTATAGATGCTTTCGCATCTATTCTTCCTGTTCTGTGAATAGCTTGATGATTTATCCAAACTGACTCCGAGGTACTCACTGGTATGTAGAGCCATTCTTGAGAGCCCTGAAGTCAGTAGGTTTAGAATCTTGTATTTCCTGGTGAAAACTAAAAGCTCTGCTCTCTATTGCTTATTACTTAAGTCAGCGTCAGATCACGTTTATATCACATGTCATTCACAAAAACCGTCAGATCATCCGCAGAAGCTAAGAAATCTAAATCCGCTTACACGTCCCTCGGTCATAGCTTTATTGTCAAGATCCACCTTTTTACGTTGCTCTACTGACATATCTATGTGCCAAAAGCCAGGCTAGGAATTTCTGTATTGGTACAAAAACGGTATGGTTTCAGAACAGAGGTAACTGCAGACGGCGTTTTATACTTGGAGACACTTAAAGCAATTGAGCTGTTCTCTTTAATCGAGATAGATCTTTAGATTTGCTTTACCACCACGAGTGGCGATGTTTTATGATCGGCTTTCGTGAATTAAGTAATTTTGGAGAATTTATTAAGAAAATAAAAAAATTAGTTTTTATCCATTAAACCAGTTTAAAGCAACTCAGATGAGCAAAACGTATGCAGATATGCTAATAACTCCTATGAAACTCTCCAAGAAAGTCTTCACCAAAGCTTTGAAATTAAGTAACAAATACTTCCACATATACATATATGCATGTATACGAAATTGGTGAAACATTTTTTTAAATTGCGAAACATCAAACGACGAAATTCTCTTTGTACACCACTCATGTTTCAAAACAAAAACAAAAAATTAAATTAAATAAAATACCTGTAAATACACTTGAATTCCACTCTCCTTCGTACGTTCAGCTTAGTAATTATGTAAGCAGCTGCTTTGTATAATTTACCATAGACTCTCTACTTTTACAAAGTTATACTAGACTAATTAAAATCATTAAACGAACGAACTGGGAACTGTAGTTAAAAGAAAGAAATACAAACCCAAACAAAAGAGGGCGTAAAGGCGCACAAAATGAAAAAAAAAATACTGAAATTGAGACCACACGATATCAACTAAGAGAAGAAAGTAAAAAAAAAAATGTAATAAAAAAGCAAAACTCTTTAATATTGCAAAGCATTAACACCTGACAAGGAAACAGGAAGCGCTGAAGAAAATGAAAGGTAAAAGGTTTAAATAACTCACCCATTCGCCCCATATGCACACACACACACACAGCGCTAAAAGACCACAGCAAAGGCGAGTTTGTGGTGAAAACAAAAACCGGAAGTGTCAATGAAAACGGCACGCGGCCACAATATGCACAGATAGTACTAAGAAATTAAATGGAAAAAATAATTAATGAAAATAAAATTACAAAAGTAAGTAAGTAACTGAGTAAACCCTCAGCGTACTCAAAAGAAAAAGGGTAGTGGCGTAAAGAAAACAGAAAAAAAGACAGCAAAGTAAAAGAAGAAAGTGGGAAAAGTGGAAAAGTAATTTAATTGCTAATTTCACTTGAAGAGGCAGACGGCAACAGCCACCCAAGCTCATTACAATCTGCGTTGCGGTCGCCATGTCTTGTTATTACTTTTGTTTTTGTTAATTTACACAACATTAACAAAAGCAACACTTTTATATATTGCACTAAGTGTAATAAAAACAAAAACAGAAAATGAATTTTAAATAGAAACAAACGTCCGCGGCAAATTAAATATTTATTTGGACTGATAGCTAACTAATTTAAATGGAAAGTAGCGTCGGGAGATGTGGTTTGATAGGATTTGATTGTAAATTGTGGCGTTAGAAAAAGAAAGGGTTTTCAAAAATGTATAGCTTTTTAAAACACTGAAATAAAAAGAAATCTCTTTATAAAAAACAAGTGAAAGAAATCCAAAAATATATATTCATATGTGAAAACTTTAACATATTGGTTTTGGAGGCAAACTAAAAAGTTTGAATAATTTAATATAACTTAATCAGCTTAATCGCATTTGAAGCAGACAAAATCCTCAATTTAAAAACAAATCCCTTCTAACTTCTGTAATTAATGAGTTTGCTGAAAAACATCTACAATGCACTACCCCAAACGGTATAATGTCAAGTGGAAAAAAAGGATGAAGTAAATAAACCAAAACAATTTAAATACAATACATAAAGTAAAATAAAATAAAATAAAATAAAATAAAATAAAATAAAATAAAATAAAATAAAATAAAATAAAATAAAATAAAATAAAATAAAATAAAATAAAAATTAATTAAATTAATACAAATTAAATTAAATTATATAAAATTAGACTAAGTTAAATAAAATGAATTGGAAATAAAATAAAAAACTTAATTAAAAAAAATTAAACTTAATAATATAAAATAATATATAAGAAATAAAACATAATAAAGTAAAGTTGTATAGATAAAATTATTTTATCAAAATATTAAGAGTTGGAAAAAATTTGAATAAACTAAACTAACATATAAATATATTCGATTTAATTAATTAAAATGAATTAAAGCAAAATGAACTACCATTTGAAAGTCCAGGGTTCAAATAATAACAAGTTTTAAAAATAAGGCTAACATAAGTACGGGAAATAAAATAAAGTAATATAAGACGAATAAAATATAACGTAATAAAATAAAATGGATTAAAATGAAGCATAGTTAAAAATTTAAAATAACATATAATTGAATAAATTAATATGGAATTCCCAAAATTTTATTTATACAACCATCTAAAAATCCTTTGTTTTAAATTTATTTCCAAATCAGTCCCTTTTATTCAAAACACTACCAGCATTCCGCGGCTATCGCATGGGGGTCATTAAAAATATATTTACTTAACCAAAAAATGCAAATATTCGTTACAGAAAATTGCGCGACAGGAAACGATGGCATGGAAAATCAGAAATCATAATTAAAACACATACTTACATACAGAATTATTCGTATGTTATTTATTGACGGAAAACCACTACGTAGCATTTATCACACGTACATAAATGCTGATAAAGTTTCCAGCCAGTTTAGCGTCAGACTGGTTGAAATTACAAGTATGTAGTCTCATCTGCCAGACATGCGGGCTCACAAATTCATGCATAAATACATACATAAACGAAACACGCCCGTACATGCATAAGTGGATATTTGAACTTTTTATTAGCTCATAGTAGACAACATTTCAAACGTGATTTTTCGTTGACAGAAATTTTGTTAGCGTTTACGCACAAAAATATTCATAACCTATAGTAAAATGAACTAGTCAAAATCAGCTTCCAGCGCAAGGTCGACCTGCCAGTCAGAGAGTATTCTTTCCTCAAATGGGCAGTACTTCTGTCGTAAACAAAAACACAAATTGAAGAATATTAATTTTTTTAAATTTATTCAGGAAAATACTAGTATCATACTAGTTCGAAACGGACGGCAATAATATAAAACACTGTTATATTTTTATTCAAAATAAATTTCTTTACTATTTACAACCGCATCCAGCTATTGCTTAAAAAATATAAGTATTTTTTATTCGAATTTCTTAGTTTTTATTTTATATTAAGAATTAATATCGAACAGATTTTAACAGAACTTGATTTATAGTTTTTGTGACTGGTTCTAGTTTGGAATATTTCGGACTAGTGTGTTTTCAAACAGGGCATTCTAGTAGTAAGCAAGTGTGCATGTAGGTCATTTTACTAATTTCGAAACTCGTATATATTGCGTTGCACTATATATATTAATGCATCTTTGTGCATGTTAGGAAAGAAAACATTTAAAAGTCCAATAGCTATTCAAACGCTACTTTACACTAATTGCTTGTTTGAGTAGACGCTTTAGTGAAACCCAAAAAAACAGTAACAAATGCTATAATAGCTTCTGTTATACAGTAAGTAAGTAACAGTCAAAAATTGTTACTACTATTTAGTAATTTATGCCCGTCCGCCTGCGTGTCTTTGACATTTTTAGTGGCGAAAAAATCACTTGAACAATTCGTCTGCGACTGCCATTTTTTATGCGTCACTTTGTTATTTAGAATCTACTTTTTTTGCTTTTTATTTGCTGTTCTCTTTGTTGTTAGTAAAAGGTATTTCATTTTTTTTATCTTACTCATGGTCTCTCTTGAATGTTCTTGCACTCTCTGCTGTGGCATAATAAAAATGTTCTAAGTTTTTATTGCTTCGGTTTTTGAGATTTGCAATTAAATTTTATGCTTAAACTGCAATTACCAGGAATTTGGGGATAAGTTTTATTTTATGACCATCGTGGCGTCGCTTAAGCGTTGAAGATATTCAAAACTTATTTATTTGAGTGGTTGGAAAAATTTTGAATTTCATAGAATTTATGTGGAGCATAAATAA